ATCAGTTCGCGCAGATTCAAGGGTTTACAGCGTTTATCAGTACGAGTGGATCCCCATGGAGCTCTACAGGCAGCAAGTCCATACCTAAGGACATGGTTTCGGCCGACAGCGACAACGTGCTTTTGTGCCAAACACCCGATGACATGGACAGCGCGGTTGCGGCTGTCGATTAAAACCCGCTAGCGTCACCTCGTCTCATAAGCAGTTCATTCCAGTGGTCTTGGCAAATTCCTGCGCTTTAAATCCTCTCACGGTTTCTATGTGCGTCACTGCTGTCGATCTCGCTGCCCTCATAGACAACACGCCGCGGGTTGCTCCTGCGTCCTAAACTAGCGATACTATCGGCGCTGCCGGGGCCGATGCTGATATTCGACGCGGACTCCAACGCCTCGACGGGATCAGCTGCTTCGTCCTTGCTTAACAGTTGTGGTTTCGGTTATTGATGCAGGACTCCTGTTATTGATACACCTGCTGCAGGAGTATCAAAAACTAGGAGTCTATAGCAAATATGACAGATTTTGTATAATAAAAATATATTGGCCTAAAAACGTTTTTACACAAGGCTGTGAACTTGTCGATCCGATCCGATTGAATCCGATCGGAACGAAAGTGATCGATAGATCAGCCAATCGGATCACAATCGATCATGATCGGATTTGATCGAATCGATCGATCGGATTTTTTTTTCGCAACCCATCCCTATCCAAAGTAGTACACCTAGGGAATCAAATAACATCTATGTAAATCATTTTTATCTCTTAACTTATTTAATGTTGCAGGCCACAACTTATGTGTGTGCCGAGCGTCGTAGTATATAGCCTATACAGGTGGGTACATTTTTATATACATTCACAAGAGCATCTACCAAAACTGAGAGATGACAAACATGGCTACATCGACCCCTCCAACCATCGCCAGTTCCCACGCTGTTATAAGAGATCAACTTCGGCATCCAAAGCGACGGTTAATTGGCATTCACAACGCATGCGTTTTATTAGTGGTGTACAGTACGTACATGGCGGACAGTTTTAGTGCTGACCTTTTGATTTACCGTCATATCGAAAAGGTTGTACACTTCACCACGACATCGGTTGCCACAGCTGATTGATTGCCTCGCATCAAATGTCTTGGCGATCACATGTTAGTCCTTATCGATCGCTTCCCTTACTTCCTTCAGCCAATCCTCGTATTTTCCCAGCTCTTTTACATGCTGCTTAATTTTCTCAGCTTTTTCCTTAGCCTTCTTAGCAGCCGTGATGGGGTTCAGCTTTTTCACACCGTCGACCAGAGCGCCCCCAAAACCTCTCTCTTCCTTGATCTCCTCTTCTTTGTCGTCGACACGCAGCAGCCGAACATCACCCACATGAGCTGAGACGGTAATATCCGATGGGGTTTTCTTTTCAACTAGAGAATTCAAAGTCTTGGCCGGAGGAAGAGCACTGCTGCTGGCTTGGAAAGTGACCGCACACACCATCACTAGAATATACGTTGCGCGCATTCTTGGGAGTTAGAGAATCACAGAGGAGGTGTATCTGCCAAGTAATCGACTCGTTGCGCTGTGTAGCAAGTTGCAGAATGAAGTTCTGGCTAGGAAGGAGGTGCCACTTTACTACACAGTGCAAATATCTGTCGCTGTCAGGTAGAACGTCTCATCTCGAGGATAATGATGTCCTTCCAATACGTACCCGATAACTGTCCGTTGTCATTTGTAAACATCAGAGCCGGATCTAATTCTAACTTTGCGTGATTGAATAAATAGTATTGGTCAAGGAGGGCATAACAAAAATCTTTCTGAGAAATTGTGATAAACTTTTCGACTCCATGAAGGCTACATATCGCCTCATCAGAACTTACAATATACGACCTTCCTGTGAATATTCTCGCTTCGATAATAGTTTTCATGTGTTACAAATCCTAAATTTGAACGTGAAACGGTGATATGTTGGAAGTAGAGGTGTAAACGGACGATTAGAAACTTTCACCAACTGAACGGAACCGATACTTTCCTCGTCTGTTTGATACAAACAGCGAACGGATTGATACGGATTATGAACGGATTGATGCTTTATTTTATTTCTGAAGCGACTGCCTTTTCGTTTATGCACCTTCTCCAATTTACTTGTACAGTATCATAGCTGGTAAGCATTGAATACTGCGCTCATCATGTATTTTCAATGAAAATTTTTCATTCATGTATTTTTATTCAGCAATAAAATCAGGCAGCTCCCATGACGACGTACCACTAAGACCATCATTTCGCCTGGAACACGTTGGTCGGAGATATGTAAGAAAAGTATTTGAACGACGAAATGCAAACACCAAAGACATCATGACTAATTTAAGGACCACACTGCCCCCCCCTCCCGTATCGATATTAAGATAATCATTTTGGCAAGGATTTTCACAACACCTGCTTTCGAGAGAAAGCTTATAGTCCCATTCTTGAAAGTTGAGCGCGACGCGGTAACGGTATCGGTTCAGTTCGCCTTTCTAGCACGCGTTTACAGCTGTAGTTGGAAGGATGTCTACTGTGCACTCTCTTGCTCCTTCTCAGTCTGTTTAGTCACGAGTAGTAAGCCGTACGGTAAGCGTATGATAAACCGTACGGTAAGCATGATAAACCGTACGGTAAGCGTATGGTAAATCGTACCAAGTTTGGTATAATACTCTTAATAGTACACTTTTACTTAAGTAGGCGGGACTGAAAAGCACCATTTAGGTAGTGTTTAAGTCTTGGGTGTACGTTACGTGTAACCCCCGCAGCTTACGCGGCGACAAATAAGTAAATAAACAATGTCAAAAAATTGTAGAGCTGCTTTCGTGAACTGGTGACCAATCGTTCCCACTGTCCAAATGTCCCTAATTTTTGAGTACGGAGGAAGTACGTATCAATTTTCTACTCGCCAAATTCAGCTTTGTTTAACAGATTAACCCCTTGAACCCGGGAGCGTGGACGTTTTCCGTGTTGCAAATTGATGTCGTAGGATAATTGCAGAGAATGCAAAGAGATAGGAAGGTTATATTCAATGAGGGCAGATCTACCACTGTATTCATTTAAAACTTGTCCTGTTACCCAAGTAGATCGTGAAATAGGTGAGCGTTGTAGCAATCATAAATAAATTACTAGCTTTGGCGTATGTGGCTGGGCGGTCCTTGCGAGGCATCGGATAAGGGCGCTGCATCTGCCAACTTCCCCTACCATTTGTAGTACTGCTGAAGCTGTTTTCGTAGTTTAACCTTTTTATTCGGTCCGTAAAGTTGTGCGAGGCTCTCTGGTGTGACTTTTTTTCGGTACATATATTCCATCTTCATTAGGAATCAGCTGTGCGGTTTCATCTTGTTGACGCTGTCTTTTGACCTGCTAAAAATCTGCGATGGTTGATACCATGGCTCTTTCGTCGTGACCAATTCCACCCGCAGCCAAACCACCAGCATCGATTTTCCTCCTCACCACATCTAGTAGCTGTCGATGTTCGTTGGGTTCTTAGGTTTCAAACTGACGAGTTACCAGGTCTTGTACACCCTAGACACGCGAAGAGCCAGCCGCTACGCCGAAACTGGAGGCACCTGTCCAAACTACAAGAAGGAAGCACTTCGTCAATTACATTACTTAATCTGTAAAAAAAGATAAGTGCTGAATTGTGCGAGTAGACAAGTGATCCGTTCTTCGTACTCAAAAATTAGGGACATTTGGACAGTGGGACCGATTGGTCACCAGTTCACGAAAGCAGCACTACAATTTTTTACATTGTTTATCTACTTATTTGTCGCCGCGTAAGCTGCGGGGGTTACACGTAACGTACCACCCAAGACTTAAACACTACCTAAAGGGTGCTCTTCAGTCCCGCCTACTTTAGTAAAAGTGTACTATTAAGAGTGTAATACCAAAACTTGGTACGGTTTATCATACGCTTACCGTACGCTTACTACTCGTGACTAAACAGACTGAGAAGGAACAAGAGAGTGTACAGTAGACATCCTTCCAACCAAAGGTGTAAACGCTTGCTAGAAAGGCGAACTGAACCGATACCGCTACTGCACTGTTGAGTTCGCGCTCAACTATCGGACTTTAAACTTTCTCTCGAAAGCAGGTGTTGTGAAAATCCTTGCCAAAATGATTATCTTAATATCGATACGGGAGGGGGGGGGCTGAGCTTCAGTGTGGTTCTTAAAATAGTCATGATGTCTTTGGTGTTTGCATTTTGTCGTTCAAATACTTTTCTTATATATCTCCGACCAACGTGTTCCAGGCGAAATGGTGGTGTTAGTGGTACGTCGTCATGGGAGCTGCCTGATTTTATTGCTGAATGAAAATACATGAATGAAAAATTTTCATTGAAAATACATGAAGAGCGCGTATTCAATGCTTCACCAGCTATAATACTGTACAAGTAAACTGGAGCAGGTGCATAAACGCAAAGGCAGTCGCTTCAGAAATAAAATAAAGCATCAATCCGTTCATAATCCGTATCAATCCGTTCGCTGTTTGTATCAAACAGACGAGGAAAGTATCGGTTCCGTTCGGTTGGTGAAAGTTTCTAACCCCAACATATCACCATTTCACGTTCAAATTTAGGATTTGTAACACACATGAAAACTATTATCGAAACGAGAATATTCACAGAAAGGTCGTATATTGTAAGTTCTGATGAGGCGATACATGTATGTAGCCTTCATGGAGTCGAAAAGTTTATCACAATTTCTCAGAAAGACTTTTGTTATGCCCGCCTTGACCAATATTATTTATTCAATCACGCAAAGTTAGAATTAGATCCGGCTCTGATGTTTACAAATGACAACGGACAGTTATCGGGTACGTATTGGAAGGACATCATTATCCTCGAGATGAGACGTTCTACCTGACAGCGACAGATATTTGTACTGTGTAGTAAAGTGGCACCTCCTCCCTAGCCAGAACTTCATTCTGCAACTTGCTACACAGCGCGACAAGTCGATTACTCAGCAAATACACCTCCTCTGTGATTCTCTAACCCCCAGTAATGCGCGCAACGTATATTCTAGTGATGGTGTGTGCGGTCACTTTCCAAGCCAGCAGCAGTGCTCTTCCTCCGGCCAAGACTTTGAATTCTCTAGTTGAAAAGAAAACCCCATCGGATATTACCGTCTCAGCTCACGTGGGTGATGTTCGGCTGCTGCGTGCCGACGACAAAGAAGAGGAGATCGAGGAGGAGAGAGGTTTGGGGGGCGCTCTGGTCGACGGTGTGAAAAAGCTGAACCCCATCACGGCTGCTAAGAAGGCTAAGGAAAAAGCTGAGAAAATTAAGCAGCATGTAAAAGAGCTGGGAAAATACGAGGATTGGCTGGAGGAAGTAAGGGAAGCGATCGATAAGGACTAAGATGTGATCGCCAAGGCATTGATGCGAGACGATCAATCTGCTGTGGCAACCGATGTCGTGGTGAAGTGTACCACCTTTGTCCGTCATATACGTACTATACACCACTAATGAAGCGCATGCGTTGTGAATGCCAATTAAGCGTCGCTTTGGATGCCGAAGTTGATCTCTTAGAACAGAGAGGGAACTGGCAATGGTTGGAGGAGTCGATGTAGCCACGTTTGTCAACTCTCAGTTTTGGTAGATGCTCTTGTGAATGTATATAAAAATGTACCCCTGTATAGGTTATATTGCGATGGTTTCGGCACACACATAAGCTGTGGCCTGCAACTTTAAATAAGTTGAGAGCTAAAATGGCTTTACATAAATGATATTTGATTCCCTAGGTGTACTACTTTGGAACCCTCCGACTTTAATCAGCTTAGATTTATCCGTTATTCGAACTATGAAAAATACGCGGTCACTCGTAATTACGGAGAAGCAACGTTTCAGACAATGCGATCTCCATGGACACGTTCTTTCTCGTTCTTACACCATTTATCGCATTCCTCGCTGCTGATGATGATGTAGAACACTCGATCAATATCAAAGAACTAAACATTCTGCTCTGGCTTATGTTTGGGTCGGAACCAAGCTCGAAAATGGTTAAGAATTTCCGCGTTGGATAACAACCACGACGGCGCTCTTAACGCGATGGAGTGGGTTTCGTATGCTCTTAAGACCAATAAACAGACCGGAAGCCAGTCATTCGTCAACCAGATTCATCTCCTTCTTCGCGACGTCGGACGTCAACGGAGACGCCATTTTGACTCTACCAGAACTTCAACGTGGTCTAATTTCTATTTTCACACCCTTTAGAACCTGTAAACACGCCGTCTAAACCAGAATCGGCACGGGAAGAAGTCAAAAGTGTGGAAACGCGACACAAATCACAGTTTTCTACCATTTCAAGTCTTGCCACCGATCTGGTCAAGGAAATCATGGGGGAACTCGATGCCAATGACACGCGACGTATCGAATGGTACGAGTTCCGACAACATCTCGAGTACCTTGACCGCCGCGTGATGGAGATCAAGACTTACATCGAAACACACGTTCTAGGCTAAATACCTACGCTCTATAAATAGAACAGACAAAAGACTAAAAATAAATCTGATATAAATTGTTGCAATTTAAATACCTATCAGTAATAGCTATTTTGCCTGTGACATGTACCTCCCGATTAAATTGGCAACCAGTCATATTCCACATTGGGGGTAGTTTGGAGGACGACCCAAGACCCAGACACTCCGTGAACGGTCAACGACAAACAAGCAGCACAAACTGAGAAAAAGCGTCAAGAAACGCACACAGCAAACAGCTCCGTCGTCTTCCAACAGACAAGGGCGAACCTTTGTTGCAAGCGTCGTGACTGCATCCAGCACTCAAAAATGAGACCAAACGCAGTCGAACGGCAACCCTTCGGAAGATCTCAGCACCGTCACCATGTGCAGCCCCTCGCAGCAATTCCTCTACACCTCCAGCACCATTTGCACTGAGCTTGCATTCGCCATCCGCCACTCCATTGCGCTCCCCGATACTTGGCAAATACTTGGTGGAAACTTGCAATAAACTCGAGGAACAAACTCCAAAAGACGCCACAGCAGCACGTGACACACCCGAGCGACAGCCAACAGACATGAAGCCAAGCAGAGAGCAGGATAAGAGCACTGTGTATCAATCACCAGACACACTCCAAACAGCAAAACGAGGTAACAAGAGACACTTGGAACAATAGTAAACCAATGTGTAAGCATTGTCTACAACGGAGCAGAGATCACGTAAAATACACATCCATCGAGTCCTACACACACCACTGAAACCCCATCATTTCATTCTCCTTTTGTCACTAAAATCCTCGCTGTGACCCGAGTGTGAGGAAAACAAAGACGTCAACAAACAACATGCAACACACTCGGACGAGGTTTACCCCCTTATTGAAGCCCCAACTAATCGAAGAGAGCCCCTACAATAAATAGGGCTCCCCTCACTCTTGTCTAGGGTTACAGGCAGCCCATCAGACCACCTAAAATCGGTCGCAGTGCGCGCAAAGCCCAAACTACATGTAAAGTACTGCTCCACTCAATGTAAAACAACACAAATAGACCGGTACACTTTGTTCCAGATCTCCACCACCCATCGTATTGTGACAAGAAGACTCCAATCCCCCTCTCCACTCCATACCGGCAGCCACAAGGCCCAGACGATGCATACACACCACCCTGACGACCCTGCAGCAAGTCCATGAGTCTTGAAGTCTCCACATGCACGCTGTCCCTCGCTATAAAGTCTCTATCATCGGCCGCCATGTACAGATCTGCACATAAAGTATCAAATGTCTGTTTCTTAGCCGATTTCAGAATAGAAACCTGATAAATCCGATTGAATGCAGCCAGACTGACTAAAATGTTTAGCGCTCGTAAATAATATAAACAAATGTTATTATTTCAGGAAGTGGATTCTACAAACATTAAATTACATTGGGCTACTGGTTCTGCAATCTGTACAGTATTTGCCATTGCAGTTTTGTTTCTTGCTCTCGTAGCCAAACAAATATCACGCTAAGCACGAAGCTCGAGTGTAGATGTATGGATGGTCTTTCTTTCATATTCCTCAAATGTAGACATTTTGAAGCGTCGTCGGCTGAATCCTACTACGTAGTACTTGAGATGATGACAGAGCCAGCAGTGTTTCCTGCCTTGGCAAGAGCAAAAAGGCTCTTTATACTTCGTAATCAATCCACAAAACGTCACGAACGAAAAGCCACAGTGTATCATCAAGCTCAAGGTGTTTCAAGCTTCAGCAACCCAAAGGAAAGACGAGATCGCCCACAAGAACCACACCGTGGTGCAGGACCGCGTCGATACACTCCTGCACTCGCTGAATTCTGCTCGGATTTTGATGAGCATTTACGGCTCATTGACAGCGACTTGTCGCTACTGAATACGTCGGTAAGACGGGAGTACCAACGCGAATCTCTACCTCTCGAGAAGCTAACCTCGGCGCTGCTGGATTCGAAAGTGAACATTAATGAAGTACCTTACGTAAACCAGGCGGAGGTACGTGTTCGTCGTGTTCGACTACGCGTTAGGAGGCCGCGCATCAAACTTCGAATCATCCTCCAGTCTACACCTAAAATGTCAACTGCAAAGCAGCCACAGCCAAGTCCTAACTCACTTAGTCGAGCTGCTATGCTAGCACATCAAGCGATGAAGGCGTGTGTTCTTCAGTCATACGCTCGGTTTTACCTTTATCACTGCTTGTACTGTGGGGGTCCCAGCCAGCTCGTTGCTGCCAGACAACTAGCCACTCGATGTCGTCGAGCACACGCATTTCGTCACTGGAGACGAATTGTTACTCAGCGTAACAAACTGCGACTTCGCTGTCTTCGAGCTCAACAACGTATCGACCGCTGTGCTGCCTCTTGGGCTCATTCCAGAGCTTTCCAAATCGTTGATACAGAAGGTAAATACGCCATGGCCAAGAAGTTCCACCAGCTCAAACTTCTTGCAAGCAGCTACCACTCGTGGTTGGGCTGGTATCAAACGTAGATTTTTCTAATACTATTGTTGTGTAAGGATGCGGCCTTATTTCGACAAACGCGATGCATCTCAATAAATGATATTCTCAAATTTGTGTACTGTATGTGTCATTGTACTACAGCCAATTAATATTATCTCTCAGGTATTATTGAATCTTATTTTGGCGAATTTATATGCACTACGATAGCTTCCCCCATTTCGGACAACGGATACCGTGGACGCCATGGCGACGGTATCGGGCCAGACGACGCGAGCGCGCTCCATCGTGACAATAGATGGGTACGTGAGTCGCGGAAGGGCTCCACCCGATTCTGTGCCTCGAGATCACGCTATGCTGCAAGATTTCGCTGCGTATTTGGAGCAGCGCCTCAAGTGTGTGAACATGTTGATGCTGCGACGCATCTTTGCCGATTTCCTTAACGAACACGAGAACACGTTGGTCCCCATGATGCAACACGGCTGTACCATCATCACCATGTACCCGGTGCTGAGCACCAGCGCCCTGAGACGTCGCGAAGCGGCACTTCTCCTTGCCAAACCAAAGCATCATCTGGACACTCGTGGGTGCGTCTTCCTGTATCTACAGCAGCGCGCAGCCACACGGAACATGGCACTACTTAAGAATTTATTCCTTGAGTTCGTGTACAAACGGGAAACGTCGCTAATGGCGTTCGTGGAGAGAGGGTGTCAAGTGATCAGTGTCATCCCCTCTAAACTGCCACAGATGACGCAGCTGCCACCGCCTCCAGCACCTCAAGAATATCCTTGCGCTATGGAAAATGCAATTGAGCAATTGCAAGTTGCGTCGGAGTCTGTGGCGAAGACAAACACAAAAAAACGGAAGCGCAAGACAGTGCCAAAGCCGTCGACAGCAGTAGCGTAGATGCCCGCCGTTGCAGATGAAGTAGCTCCCTTGGTCACCCAGAAGAAGACGAAAGGGAAACAGAAACAAGCTGGGAGTCGGGTGCAGCAGACACCATCCGACACTTGTGATGAGGCCGAGGTTTCGACCAAGCGTAGACGCATAATCAGCAAGAATGCTAGTGTGGCACCAGCCTCTAGTCCTGTTGAATCAACCCCAAAGCGCCCTAAACCGGCAAAAGAAACTACGAAGCCACTACAGGAATCGGCTTCTGGACCTGCTACTAGCTCAAAGCCAGTGCCTGGCAAGACGAGAAGTACTTCGTTGTCGGCTGCTACGTCTACAGTTATACCGGAATCGGTCGAGTCAGGCGAGACGGAGGTTTCTAAGAATACCCCAAAGCGGGGGAGAAAGTCGAAGGCTACCACAGAATCAACACAAGATGGAGCCTCTGTAGCCACAACGGAAGTGGCCAAACCTGTTGTGACACACCCGCATCCAAGCGCTGCAGGAAGTCAAAGACTAGCAAAGTATCCATGCAGGCTGTTGTCTCTGCAGCT